TTTTATATTTTAAAAATTCCCATTTTTTGGTAGCATTTATTAGTTCCTCCAATTTGGATATTTCTTTAATTAATGATTTGATTTTCTGGCAGTAGTCATTGTTTTTAAGCAAAGTGGAGTTAAACTTCCAATATGTGTGTGAGTGGACAGTGTTATCATTAGGTTTGATCTGCAGTAAGATCATACAATGATCTGTTAGAGGTGCAGCAGAGATATCAGAGCTAATATTATATAATAGTAAATGATTAGCAATCAGCCAGTGGTCAATTCTGGATTTAAATTTATGGTTCGCGCTAAACCAGGAGTATTTAGTTAATCCTGGATTTAAATGTCTCCAAATGTCAACCAAATTATGTTTTTCGTAAAAGTTTGTGAATGTGATGTTTGGGTGACTTGCAGAGTATCTACTAGGATATTTATCTAAAAAATCATCATGAGCTAGGTTTAGATCACCACCAATTATGACATTATCAGTTGAGAATGTTAATTTGAGATTGTCCAAATGTAAGCCAATTTCATCCAGTAGGTTTTGGTTTTCTCTGCGGACGTTGTATCCATAAATGTTGACTAATATGAATTTTAGACCATCAATGTTAATAATAAGAATGATCCAGTGACCATACTCATCTGCTATATGGGACATTATCTGACCTTTAAAGTTATTTAGGAGGATGGCGACACCTGCTGATCTTGGAGTACCATGGCTAAAGTAAGCATCATCTCCCCACTGTTTGGCCCAAAACACAATATCATCATTCTTAGAATGAGTTTCCTGCAAAAAAATTATATTTGACTTCTTCCCTTTACAAAATAAAAAAAAACTTTTTCTCTTTGTTATGTTTCTTAAACCCCTTGCATTAACAGAAATTAAAAGAATATTGCTCTTTAAACTGAACATAGAGCAAAAACAAATTAACAATCAACAACACTAGATTCCTGAGCTTAGAACAGTAACGGTTCCTTTTTAGGGAGATATGACAGTAGCAAAACCCTGAAAATACTTTTTCATTCAAACTTACTTATTTTGGGGTTAAAAACCCTGAACGGTTGTGTCTATGGTGAGACTCTTTGACCATTAATGAAGGCATGGGGGCCTCGGAACACCGTCTTTAGTCCTGCTTTCCTTGCTTGTTCCACTTTGGGCCACACAGCCCTCCGTGCCTCCCTGTCCTCCCTGGTGAGATCCTCTGCCAGGCGGATGTTCAGCTCCTTGCAGACGGGGTGAAGTTTGGTGATCCTCCAGAGTTCATCCCTGAAGTGGCGTCCTGTGAACTGCAGGATGATCTGACGAGGGCGGTTGGTGTTGTTTGGTCCCAGTCGGTACACAGAATCTAGGATGAAATCTATCTTCTCCCTCCAGTGTGGTGCTATCTTTCCGATGATATCAGAAATGACTTGTCTCGTGTTTTCATCTTTTCCTTCCGGTAATCCAATAACCCGCAGGTTCCATTTTTTTTTATAGCGCTCCATCTCTGCAGCTCTTTTTTCCATTTCTGCTGCTTTTCTTCCAAATTCTGCGTTTTCCTCTTTGAGTTGTTTCACCTCCACGCCCAGTTTTTGACACTGTTCTTTACATTGTTTGATTTCGGCAGAGTTAAACTCCACCGCTTTGGCAATGTTGGTTATAGTCAGTGTGTTCTGCTTCAACTCCACTCTGAAATCCTGCATCATGGTCTGAAGCGTGCCGATGGCAGACAGGATGGCAGCGGTAGAGTTTTCTTCAACACGGGCTTCAGCACCTACCACGTCGTCCACTTTGGTCTTTTTCTGTGATGGTTTGGCAGGAGATGTTAAAGTGTTTTTGGTTCCTCTACTGTTAGTTTCCATCCTTTCCGGACCACAATAGTCGTGTGTCTGCAGCACCTTCATCTTAGCGTTAGCTTTGGTGCTAACGTTAGCCATGTTCTACAATAACGTTTTCCGGGAGGTTTTCAGAGTTACTTACACGTTTCTGTGATATATAAGTAAGATCTCTCCAGTCTTACATCTAGTAAGTCAGGGTTTCGTTGACATACATTTGTTCTATTGACTTGCAAGGTTTCGCTACTCTGAGCTATTCACAGCACGTCTGCTCGCTCCGCCATCTTCCGGGTTCCTCCTCTTCTTCTTCTTCTTCTTCTTCTTCTTCTTCTTCTTCTTCTTCTTCTTCTTCTTCTTCTTCTTCTTCTTCTTCTTCTTCTTCTTCTTCTTCTTCTTCTTCTTCTTCTTCTTCTTCTTCTTCTTCTTCTTCTTCTTCTTCTTCTTCTTCTTCTTCTTCTTCTTCTCATTAATGGCGGATTGCAAGTAACTTTTAGGTGCATACCGCCACCTACTGTACACGAGTGTGTAGCAACATTTTCTCTACATTTATTAAATTCTATTTATTAATCTTGTGTTTTTAAGAAAAGTAAATAAAGCTTTCCTTACTCTATAAATATCCATTATGTTTCCTTCATTTCCTAATATTCCTTTAAGACTCACTTCTTTTCCTGTCCTTCCAACAATTCTTTTCAGATTTTCTCTTTCAGATTCATATGTTCTACAGTTCATTAATACATGTTCTACATTTTCTTTCTCTTCACATCCTTCACATTTATCATTACTTTTCTTCCCTATTAAATGTAAAGTGTCATTTAAATAGGTGTGTCCTACACTTAATCTAGTCATAATTATTTCTTCCCTTCTGTTTCTCTCATCAATATTTCTAATTAGTACTGACTTTTGCACTTTATATAATTTTCTCCCTTTCTTATCTTCTTTCCACCTTTTTTGCCATTCTTTTATTTCTTTCATTTTAATACATGATTTCCCTTTCCCGAAAGGAATTATCATCTTCATTGTCATTTCTAAAGCCCTTTTTGCTAATTTATCAGCTTTTTCATTTCCTTTAACCCCTTTGTGAGCTGGAACCCAGCAGAACCAGACATTAATGCCACCTCTATATAATCTAAATAAACTATGCATAATTTCTAATACTAACTCTTTCCTATTATTTCCTTCTCCCTGGATACTTTCTAACACTGCTTTAGAGTCTGTACATATCACCACCCTGTCTGGTCGAACCTCCTCTACCCAATGTAAGCTTAATATAACTGCCATCCCATATTGGAAATGCTGACCGCTTTTGCCTATAGGCGCTGGCGAGAGAAATGGCCAAAAAAATTTGTTATGTCACATGTCTGTCACGTGGTATGTCCTTTTTATTTTTAAATCTTTATTAAATTTTCAGATGTTAAAATAACATTAGTAACAAACAGTCTAAAATAAACAACAATAAGGAATTATTATGAAGATGTATTCATCTATCCTCAAACCCTATGAAAAACAAATGTCATAAAATGTAAATTAAATTTGTAGTTTAGAGACAAATGTACATTACATTGAGGACACATTTATCTATCCAATAATTATCATACACGCACACTTATCCCTATAATGGTGTCGTTAGGGCTGGTGCAGTGGATTCTGGACAGATTCCCAGTTCATCGCAGATTAAGAAAAAATCTATCCATCAAATTTCTGACCCGCTTAATCCCTCATGGGGTCGCGGGGGTTGCTCGTGCCTATCTCCAGCGTTGATTAAGAAAAGCAATATAACCAAATACTTGCTGGTGCGGAAGTTCAAATAATAATATAATATCAGTAGACCCCAACAGGATTTATCCTCTAAAAGACTACCTAAAAAAGTTTAAACCTGATATTCCTGTGAACTGCACTTTTTGTGATCTTCTCCCAGAAACTGTAACACATTTGTTTTGGTTGTGTCCATACTCTAAGACGTTTTGGTTACACTTTTGCAACTATGTGAATTCAAATGTTATGAAAAAATTTCAGCTTCATTGGAAAAACATTTTATTTGGCTTTCAACTGCAAAGTAAAATGTTTCCCAAACCTTTCCTTATCAATCTTTTAATTTTGTTGGCCAAATTTCACTTGCATAAATTTAAATTTCTAAAAAAAAAAAAAAACGGACTTTAAAGCTTATTTAATAGAAGTCAAACAATATTTTCATACAATTCATCTTTCTTCTCATCAGACAGCTCAAAAAACCATAACAATCTGTTCCCAACTAGAAATTCTAGACAACTTAATGTTGTAAAAGATATATTTATTTGTATAATACATACACATATATATATGACACTCCCCAGCGCATATGTTTGTATAATTGCTTGGTTTTTTTTCTCCTAACTGTACTTGTTTATTGTGACATACCCCCTGGCATATTTATTTGTTTGTTTGTTTGTTTATATATTGTTGTCTGACTTTAAGTGAAATAAAAAAAAAAAATAATAAAAATAAAATCAGTAGTAGCAATGCGGGATTGGATTGGCTGTCGCGGCGCAGGAATTACGGCCGCCATATTGGGCGGTCGACCTGCTACTCAAACATGCTGATTCAAGCTGAACACTCTAATGATGCCTCAGCACTGTGCGGCGTATTTTGTTTAAATTTACAGACTATTTACGTCAGGGCTCGAGGGATAACTTTTCACAATTAAGATGAAAACATATCTTTACATATTCCCTGCCCTGTTACGTCAGCATTTCCAATATGGCTGTCCTTGATGTGGGCGGGGCTTGACCCGCAGGCTGCAGCGGGATGTACTTGGATGTGCTGTGAGTCTTTTAATCTGAAAATATTAAACCGGAAGTTGGTTGCTGTTAAGCGAAAACAGCTCGTTGTTACCGCGTGCGTTGCAGGTAGGCTTCCTACAGGATTGCTGAATTTTATTTAAATGCATTAGGGTTACAGTACAGTCACCCATCCATCGCTAAACAATGTGCTTGATATGAAAAAAGTACTGTTACCTTTTTTCATACCTATAACTAATAAGCATCAGACCCTGAAGCTAACGTTAGCTAGCTAACTCAATGACAGATTTATATACCAACAGAACTTCTGTAGTTGCATTCCCCTTCCTTGTTTAAAGCATGCAACAGTATCTGAATATATACTACGTTTGTTTACAGGTGAGCTTCCCCCCAGCCAGTCACTCTGCACTGACACCTTTTGTCAAGACAGAAGCAGTCCACAGATCAATAACTCCTCACTATGTCCTCCCTGGAAGATGAGGCTGTGGAGCAGAACACGGTGGAGGGACCCACCTCTTCACCATCCTCTGACACTGATCCCAGCACTGGAGCAATCATAACCATCACCATTGGAGCAACCGTGCCCACTGGATTTGAGCACACTGCTGCAGAGGAGGTCAAAGAGAAGATTGGGAGTGATGCTCGAATCAGCAAAGATAGAGGCCGTATATATTTTCCCATCACTACTGACAAGCTCTTCCAAGTAAGTCATTGCCTTTCTCATTCTAGTTTAAAGAATGGAAAAACCTTGAATCAGCCCCACAATGACTCCCCCCACCATGTTAAGATACATGGTGGTGGCAGTATCATGATCTGGGATAACTTTCAGGTGGAACCAAGGTATTTGAGTTGAATCAAATTAAGAACTTTTCCAAACCAGTTTTGACCCGAAAACCTAAAATATCATCACCTGGCTTTTTATTATTCAGCATTACAATGGAGCCAAGCATGCAAAATGGGATTTATAAAGAACAGGCAAAGTTTACAAATAAAATCTACTACTTATCTGTGGGGACAATAGCATTGATGAGAGATGTCCTTATATTGTGACCTTTTTTAAAGAAAGGATATGAAAATATTGTATTGTTGATCCTACCAAAGAAGGCTAAATGCTGTAATTCAATCACAAGCTGCTTCAACAAAGTATTAGTCTGTCTTAGGGTGTTCACATGTATACAACCAGGTTATGATCTCAACCTTTATTTAAAGTTATTTCAATATTTATTCTATTTTCAGTTGAATGATATGGACTAGATGTCAAATTATGGATTTGAGTTTTGAAAGATTTATCGGGGTTTAATTTTTATCCCACAAAATACAGATTTTTAACAGGTTTGTAAACTGTAGCTCTATATAGTGCTTATTCTATGCAAGAGACACATGCAGAGAATGAACTTATTAAGAAGCAACTTATTTATCCCAGATGTAATTCACAATATTATATTATTGTATAAAAAGACATTATTTTTTCAAACAGAAAAATAACATGAGAGCTACACATTCTACGCTGCTGAGTGGAATGTTTTGAAGGGGTTTGTGTTGACAACCCCTGAAGGGCTTTCTGGTGCAAATTAGGGCTAAGTGATTAATTGCTTTTATTGATTGTTTAAATTCTTTTTTTATGAAGCTTTTAATTTTGAAAAATGTATATACAGCAATCCATTTCTTGGGCTTCCAAAGTGCTATCATTGATTCCCTTTTTGCTCTTAGATGTGTACATATAGAAGATAAAACTAGCTCCGTGTGATACCACCAGTTGCAAACATTTAGTCTGCTATATTTTCATTGTTTGTTGTGAGCAATGATCGTTTTTCTTTTTTCACAGCTTGATTTCCATTGCTCTTTAAATAAAGGTAACCTTCCAGAGAAGAGGATTGGAATACAAGCTTGTGCACTTTAAAAAATATAAGCCCATTTTGTTTGCTCTATCTATGAAAAGCAAAGATTAAAAAATGGAGATATCAAATAGTAATTTAGCAATAGAATAGATAGAATATAAATTGCCTTTATTGTCCCACAATGGGGAAATTCTGGTGTTTGCAGCAGAAAAAGATTATAGAAAGAATTGTCACACAAATGTGGACCTTAGAAAAATGTATAAGAATAACATAATGATGAAGAGTTAAAAGATAAACCATTAAATACTGTACTGTAAAGTGTTTTAACAATAAAAAACTGTGCACCTGTAGAATAAATAACCAATATGCAGCTATGGACATTGGTCCATAGCTGCATAGCTGCTCCATAGATGGCTGATGCCACAACATAGTCATCGAAGGTGTTTATGACTCTGTTCCATAATCGGTTAGTGTAATCAACCGTGAGCTAGATCCTGCTGACGTCTAATCTATTTTTAAAAAAATGCGTGGTTAAGTTTAAAAATATACGTACATTTGCGCAGTTCTTTTCAACAACCGAACGGCATTTTTCCATTCACCGAATGAGTTCTGGGAAGCCACTCCGTTCCTAAGTCAGCTCCCGACTCACTTGGTCTGAAGGGATAATTTTAAGGGTTGAAGGGCACTTTCCCCTAATTCTTAAAATTACTAGGACACACTAACCTTGCACGTGAACCCGCAAAACCGAGTGCTAGGCTCTAAAACAACCGCAAGTTAGAGAAATGGGACTGGGCCTTATTCTGCTTATGTACCTCCTGTATTTACTATGATAGTTTTTTTTTTCCCCAAGCTAAATAAGACAAATACTATTGTGCTACAAGGATAAACTTCTCTTAGTGATAGTTTCTAAACAATCGTCTCTCATCTTACAGATCCAACATCAGCTGTTTTCTGGGCCTTGATTTCCTTTTTTTTTTTTTAAAGACAGCTTTCTGATGTTGTTCTTTTGCTGTAAATATTTGTCATTCTGTCTGAAAGTCAAAACAAAGCTACTAAAAACCTCTAGGATACCTGGAAATTTGCATAAGGATCTGAAAATAAGATGTTAGGGATTTGGATCTTTACATTGTTTCAGCTTAATATTTCCTCTCTGTTTATATAGGATCTAGTGATGTTTTTGTTTTGTTTTTCAAACCAGTGCATACCCTTGTGCAGAGGATGCATATCTCAAGATGCACAGTATCTAACTATCTTTTTCTATGTTGCAGGTTCATCTTTTGTGTTCTGTGGACAATCTGTTTGTTGTGGTTGCAGAATTTGATTGTTATCAGTTTAAAGAATCTAAGGTGAGTCAGTCTGAGCTGTTCCCCCTGATTTTAAGCTTCATATTATTCATAATGTTATGTTTGACTTTTGGTCCTTACAGGAGGAGACCCTGAAGGAGTTGCAGGAGCTTGCATCTACGCTTCCCTGGACTAATGCTCTTGAGGTCTGGAGACTTAACAGAACCCTTAAGAAGAAGAAAGGTCACAGAAAAGTGGGAAACACCACTAGAGCAAAATCTAAAGCAGCGTCCAGTGATGTGGCTGCTTCTGCTTCTGCTGAAGCAGCGCCGCACAAGTTACCTCAGGAGATGTCTCTAGCCGACAGTGACACCAAGTCAGTGGTCACCCCAGACTCAGAAACGTGTCAGCAGGACTTGGAGGAGACTGCAAACGATGCCAAAGTCATCAAGTTCCGTGTGACATGCAACAGGGCCGGTGACAAACACAGCTTTTCTTCTAATGAGGCAGCCAGGGACTTCGGAGGAGCCGTGCAGGAATTCTTCCAGTGGAAAGCAGACATGACGAAGTTTGACATTGAGGTAGGAAAGCTTGTTCAGACTTAACAGAGGACATATTAAATATCAGCATCCAAGCCAAGAAAAACTCTGCTTACTGAGGTAAACATGCAAGGGATTAGCTCATATTTACTTTAGGGAGTTTCAAAAGATCTTATCTGAATAGTATTAGGTGGCATTTTCCTTTTAGGTGCAATTTTTTAGTTCTTTGGAAAACTGAAAAATGGCTATGTGAAGTAAAAGGTTTTGAAAATGGCTGTTTTTTTTTTCCATTCTCTCTATAATTTAAAATCTTATCACGTGTCTGCAAGAAACGTGATAAGAGAAAAGCTGGTTGACAGAAGGCTATTTGTCATCATGCTTAGCAACATATTTTCTTCAGAATAACTATATTTGTGTCCTTGACCAAAATTGAGAAATACTGAGAGAGAAAAAAGCAAAGACAAGGAAACTAAGTACTCTGCTGAAATGTACAAAGTTGATAACAAAAAAATTCTAAAGAAACATCAACGAAAAAGATACAACATTCACTAAATAAATTAGACTGAAGTAGTGATGGTGAAATCAAAAATTAAAATTTAATTTCAAAGTGAAGATTTATATGGTGTTTATCCAGTGTGGACGATGTAATCAAAAGATTTGTAGCTTTGGTGTCTATCAGCCCAGCAGCTTATGTAGGGATTCAGGAGCCCTCTGTCAAGAGCCCAGTCAGCCTGTAATGATCAAAATGATGAATGACTACCTATGAGCGCTCCTTTAGTAGATAGTTGACCTTATTTATGAGTCTTTTTCAAGTATGTATGTTATTAATAACTCTATGTTCGCATGTTTTTGCGAAAAGCTGAATTGCATTTATATTGTCTATATAGAGTCCTACATTTAAACTTTTTCTATTATGTAAAATTCACATTATAACTATTTAGTGTCAGTCATATATTGTCCTGAAGCCTTTGTGTGAGGTTCACGAATGAAAAAAAAAAAACCTTCCCCATTCTCACTGCCTTTCTCCACCTCTTAGCTAATGTTTGCTCAAAATGCGCCGTTTTAAAATCACGCACTTTATGCTATCATAATGGGAAATAACCTGTCCGGAGCAGTCTGTAGCAGCCCATCACTCAAGCCTGGGTCTTCTTCTGCGGTATTATTCTGTGCTTCTAGCCGCTATCTGTACAAATTCTAACTGGTTGTCATGGTTGAGGTTTGTGGGGTCGCGGCCTTCAGGAGGACTGGGACTGGAAACCAGAAGAGTTCAGCCAGAAGAGGGCTGAATAAGAAAATTTTTGGTGAAGGCTGTCTGCCTAATCAGGGATGAATTTTCCTGCAAAAATGGTAAAGTCCTGTGGAGGCCTCATTGTTAAAGTTTGTATTTTCTAATATAAAATAATATGAGAGTTTATGAAAAACTTGGATTTTCCAGTCTGGTGCCTTATTGTTTCCAACCTCAGTATTTTAAATCTCCATTAGTTAAGCGGCTCTCCGTTTACCCTCTAGTTCACTTTGAACCAATGATACATGTGGTGGATGGAGAGGAACTAAGGGGAATACTGCAGGTGTTGTAACATTTTAACCATGTCTTCTCTTTGATAAATATGGAAGAAAAATTACAATCCAAATAAAGAAAAAAAGGCAGATGAGAAGAGAATTTAGTGATAAAATTGAAGACTCCTAGTTTTGTGGTGTTGCGACATTTAACTGATAGTTCATTGAGTTTATGTGTCTTTGATTTCCAAGCTAGTGTGAATAGGAATCTCTGAATTAAACAACTTCAGTGTCATTAGGTGGTAGAGGGAATAGGAAATGTATCATGATGTCAGCCTTTCATCTCAGTTGATAATTATAATTATTAATAAGCTGTTTGTTTCATTTTCATATTTTGAAATGACCCGCCCTCTCCGCTTTATAAAAAATGCACACGCACAACCCTGTACCAACTCCCAAGAGGGAACGCCTGTTAAATGCGTGTGACATCATTTCTCCTCGTGCACGCTCTATTCAAAAGTTGCAGTTTGCATCACTCATACAAGCTTACTTACCAAAAGATTTGCAAATTTTCAATTATGTCAGACTAACCACTGATAACTTAAAATGGGGACGAGCACGTAGGACGGCCTTGCGTAAACACATCACCAGAATGACCACTTATTTAGACAATCCACCCGAAAATAGAACATCCTCCATTAGAGCTTTAAACTGTTAAAAAGAGGTGAGGGTGACGTGCTTCTCTAGCGCAGTGGTTAGCGTGCACAATCCTTGTATGACAGAGGCCTTAGGCTCCTTAGTCTGTCTTAGTTGCAGAGCCAGGTTCGAATCCGACCTGTGGTCCTTAGTGGTGTCTCTCCCCCTTTCTCATACCCCCTTTCCTGTCAGCCCACTGTACAATAAACGATCCACTAGTGCCGTAAACAATAACTTGGTGAAATCCTTTCCTCTCCCTTTATTCCCCAAAATGCAATCTAGTTCTTGATTGAAGTTCAGTAAAATTATATAATATTCTATTGGATGTATTCTCTTATTATTATTGCCCAGCTAGTGGTGTAAAACTATGTAGTCTTTAGATGCTTCACCTGTGTATGAGTGATGAGGGAAGGTTCAATCCTCATTTGCTGAATATCTAATAAAAAAACCTGGAAAGGAAGCAATTGTTGGGTAGAGCTTAATTGTGGTTGCTCATGCTGTCTGTTGATGGTTGTAATTATTTCATCTTAAATCTGCATCATTTGTTGCAGGTTCTGCTCAACATACATAATGAAGAGGTGGTGATTGGGATCGCACTCACAGAGGAGAGTCTTCACAGGAGGAACATCAGTCACTTTGGACCTACTACCCTGCGTTCTACCCTGTGCTACGGCATGCTCAGGTGGCTAGTTTTTCAGGATCCTAGGGGCCTCGCAAATGTTTCATTTTTTTATGCTATTTTCATGAAGTCACTCATGTTTTGGAAATAAGGTAGGGCAGGTTGACTGAGCATATGTGCTTTGGATGAATTACAGGTCGAACAAGTGCATCACTGTGGAGGACAAAAGAAATTGTCTTGTACGTCAAAGCTTGTTTGTTTTAGGCATGGTAACTAAATAGATAGGTGGCTGTCGTATTGGGTGATATTTTCCATGAGCATCATTATCGAAAGAATTTTATTGTCTCTATTTATGCAGTTTATTATTGTTAGGTATGTTGCATTTATTGTTGTGCATTTCTTTAATAATTATGCTTGTTTTATTTGGGTGTGATCAGTCTAGGATTGATACTGAATTCTGATACTGATAAAGAATTCTGTTCTATATTTAAAGTGAGTTCTATATTTAAAATATAATGAGCTAATCGTGTAGGCAATGAAAGACAGAATTCAAATCTACAGTATATCTAAATAATTGCCTTTTAAGATAACAAGGAGTTAACCCAGAGGACAAATTGGCACTAAGCATTGAAATACATTGGATATTGTGTTTTCTTCTTTGAAAACCAGTTCCATCTTTGATTTTTCCAATTTCCAGCTTGCATTTCTCTGGGTTGCTACTCGTCAGTCTCCAAGCTCTCATGCTATGTCTGAATCAAATAGCTTAACTACCACACTAGCAGCAGTCACTGCCTCCTAAAGAACTCATATTGGAGTTGTGTGATTTTTGAAGCTTGCTGAGCTTAGTCTCTTTTTTTTTTCCTGGGACGCCTCCCTAACATCCAGCTGGCTGAGCACATTCTGATTCTGTTTCATATTTTAAAGAAACCCCACCATTACACATGTGAAGAGTTTTTTTATTTCTCTGTTTTAAGGCTCATTAGAAAAAAAGTGGACCTCACAGCATGCATTTCTACATTTTAATGACTGCTCCAGTAAATAGTTTGACCTTTAAACATTTACTCGTCCTGTCAGTTTGTAGTCCAAAATAGCCTTTTTAGATTCTTCTGTTCAGAAGTTAAAGTTAGCAGCTGCACGCGCCACCGAAGTGCACAGTGTCCTCCCCAACATTGAATGCATAACAATGTGATGCAGCGTAAGTACTGATGCTACAAATGTTTTCATTAAGGACAAACAGGTATTTCAGACGTGACAAACGTGCTTGCAGTTTAAATTGGCAAGCCAATGTTCAAACTGGGAGTTACCCTAGACACAAATACAGTGAAGAAAATAAGTATTTGAACACCCTGCTATTTTGCAAGTTCTCCCAATTAGCAATCATGGAGGACTGGGCCATAAACCCTCCTGCAGTCTTTGCAAACCTGGTGAAAAGTACAGGAAAAATTTAACCTCTGTAATTACAAACAACCGAGTTGATTTTCAGATACTTTTTTGCAGTTGTATCATACAAATAAATAGTTAATAAATAATATTGTGATTTCTGGATTTTTTTTTAGACTATCTCTCTCACAGTTGATATGCACCTATAATGACAATGTCAGACCCCTCCATTGTTTCTAAGTGGGAGATCTTGCAAAATAGCAGGTTGTTAAAATACTTATTTTCCTCACAGTATTTGTGTCTAGGGCAGGAGTGTTGAATAACAGAACCATTTTCCATTTATGGTCACATTCTGTTTGCTTGGAAACCAAAATATTTTCTGTGGAGTGAGATGAGGTAAAACTTTTCAAGTGGGGGTCACCCTCAATACAGCTATAGAAGAGGGATCCAGTCTAGGTGTCATTTTTAACTCCTACAGTTGAAATTAAAATGCCAGTAGATTGAAGGCGAGTTTGTTTAGCCTCAAGGCAACCCACACAAGAACTTCCCATTAGGTTAATAACAAAGATCTATCTGCATTGAGTTAATACCAGATCTCCTTTAATATGAATCTTATCTGGTAATTGGCCAAATATGATTTTTATTATTTGGACCAATTAGGATGTTAGTAACTTCTACAGGTCTTTGCTTCTTTACGTAGCTCTGGACTGATGTTGGGACTATATTTATCCTCTAATGTATGTCTGCAGGCTGTGTAAACCTCAGGAGTCTGATATAATACTGGATCCAATGTGTGGGACTGGAGCCATACCACTAGAGGTGAGACAATTCATGATCCTTTCATTACATCAGCTGGCTGGATGAGGTTCAGCTTTACGACATTTATTCAGAATGGGTGTGATTAACTGTTTGTTGCTGTAACGCCCTTCAGAGTTTTGGGCATGCAGTAACAGAAAAGAAAACATCTCTACAAACATTAAGTAATTTGGCTATGTGAGATACAGGTGGTATGGAGGAGGCAGAGGAATGAAGAAAAGCGTGTTTTAAAAAAAAAATTTTTTTTTTCGTAAATGTTATGTTTCATTGAAAGGCTGAAATGTAAAAGAACTGCATTTCATACAGCACATTGTTTAATCTATTAGGCTTTGATATGGAATTCTGTTTAGATAAAATGTGTGTCTTTGGGTGTTTTCACTAGGGCTGAAACAACTGGATAAACTGCGAATAATTCATAATTAAGATGTTTGTTAAATTACTTAGTAACTCAGTAATCATTAACTGTAGTAAACAGACTTTAAAAGATACTATTCAGTGAAAAAATTCATTCAGAGCAGTAATTAAGCCAAAACTTTATAAAAATGTATACATTTGTATACAACTATTGAGAACCATTTTATTGTTGGACATAAATCCAATAACCAAAAAATTGTTCAGCAGATTAATCATTTAGATAAATGATCATTGTATGCAGCCATAGTTCTGCCAAAAAGTCTGTATGCATTGGGTCAAAGATGATGTGAGGGACTGTACATTTCCATGCAGGGCTGGCTGAAGGCATAAGCAAACTAAACCACTGCTTAAGGCCCCATGACAACTATGCGGCCCCAAAGAACAATTAATTAATTAGACATGTACTGGTCAGGATTTTGGGAGCCGAGCGCTGATCATAAAAATCAACATCTGCTGACCGCCAAACATAGCATTAAATCCATAAATTCTTCAACTGCTTTTTCGTGAACATTTGCATCGTATTATTAGGTATCAAATTTATGGATGATAAAGTAGCCTGAATTGACCACTGTTTTAGTGAAGGAGGCATTTTTGTAAGTCAAAATCCTGGCCAGGCCAACAATTGTTTGGGCCACTATAGGCCTGGAAACTCAAACGCTACTCCAGATATTTTGAATAGAGAGATCTCTAGAGCTCATACTTCAAGTCCCCACAAATGGCCCAGATATTGGACATGGGTGACCTTTGTCCTGTTTGTCCACTCATAAACTAAAGACACTGTCAGATTTGTCTTACCTTGGCTGAGGAGAACTAGCTCTTCCCTGTAGCTCAGCGGTTCAAAGTCAATTTCAAATTGCTTTCAGAAATCACAGCTCCAGGATCTGTGTGAGGAGTGGAGAGGCATATAATCAAAGCAGAACACACATCCCACCCCACTTTAGGCAGGAATTGGCTGCTGTCCATGACCAACCTGTAGAGAATCTATGCTTTGTCATGAGAAAGATTACAGAAATCAGAGCCAACGATGCAGATGAGTTGAAGGCCACATTAGAACAGAATCACATAACCACCACCAAGATAATATGAGGGGTTTCCACCTTTCGTGTTGACAGTGATGTCTTTGTCTTCTGTCTACAGGGTGCTATTGAATTTGGTGAATCGTTCTACATTGCAGGAGATAACAATGACATGGCAGTGAGCCGCACAGTCAACAACATATGTCACATTCAGAAAAGAAGGGCGGAGAAAGGCAGGTGAGTGAGCAGAGACCAACAGAACCTATTTCCTGAGTAACTGACCCGTTCTACCCTCAGAACTTTTCCCCAGAAGCGCCTTCATGGAAATGTTGATTTTCTTCCAGGTAGTTTTTTTTTTTAAATCAGATCCAGGTTTTGCTTTATTACTTCAGAAAATCCTTGACAATGTGTTACTTTGGAGTACGATGGAATCTTCATCTGTCAACTGTTTGAAGGTCATCTTGTCAGGCAGTATTTTGGGATGTATATATAAATATAATAAAAACTTTGTTTCTTAATCTCATCTTTAATATAGCAGGAACCCTCATATGATAAACACCTTCACTTCAGATTTTTTTACCAGCATTCTTGCAGCAAAGTTAGATTTATTTTCTGTCCTCCTTAATTTTTTTTTTTTCTAAATTAAGCAATATGATGGTTATCTCCCAACCGAAACTGTTTGCTGGGCCCAGCGTCAGCTTTTTCTTTCCAACTCCAGATTGTGCAAATGGCTTTGGGTGGACCTATTCTGGTTCATATTACTTTTTCAAACTGCTGCAACAGTGTTTCACCAAACATTTTTATTTATTTTTTTTGTATTAAAGGAATAGTACACCCAAAACATGATTAGCCTTCATTTTCTACTCACCCCCATGCTGAACAACTCTCTGGAGTACTTTTTTGATATCTCAAATGCATCTGGAGATCTGGGAGGCTTCTTGCTGTCTGCTGACATTCAAATAATGGAGGTCTATTGTGCCCGAGACAGAAAGGTCCATAAAAGTCCACAAAAACGTGTCAATATTCCTCCATGCTGCTCGTCCAATGTATTCCAAGTGTCCTGAGTGGGTAGCATCCAGAATTTACTCGAAACGAAGTCATTTAGAATGTTTTTAGAGCATAAACAGTAGTCTATAGGATTTCCTGAAAGCACGCACCTGCGCGCTCACGACGCTACGGAAGCCGGCAGACCAAACCAGCGCATTCAGCTCGGCAAAGAACTCATGCTCTTCCTCAACACTGAAGTCCTCAGACATTTTTCTTTCGTTGTTTCTTTCTTTGCACAGGTAAACAGCACATTTCTTCTTCTACGCTTGCATTATTGGCAGAGCAGACGCTGAATGCGCACTTTCATCTGGTTTGGTCTGCCGGCTTCCGTAGCGTCGTGAGCGCGCAGGTGCGCGCTTTCAGGAAATCCTATACACTACTGTTTATGCTCTAAAAACATTCTAAATGACTTCGTTTCGAGTAAATTCTGGATGCTACCCACTCAGGACACTTGGAATACATTGGACGAGCAGTATGGAGGAATATTGACACGTTTTTTGTGGACTTTTATGGACCTTTCTGTCTCGGTCACCATAGACCTCCATTATTTGAATGTCAGCAGACAGCAAGAAGCCTCCCAGATCTCCAGATGCATTTGAGATATCAAAAAAGTACTCCAGAGTGTTGTTCAGCATGGAGGTGAGTAGAAAATGAAGGCTAATCATATTTTGGGTGTACTATTCCTTTAATAAGTTGGTCTAGAAAGATTTATATCATTGCAACTTCTTTAGTTTGACAGAGCTGAAGCATAACCTTACATTGTTTTTTTTAAATTGGATTAAGTGTGATGGGGTCAGCACAAAGTAGTAAGAAAAAAAATAGTCTTTAAAGCATAGAGCATTTAGATTAACTACAACTAGTTCAATACTTTCTAGACCAGCCCTTTTTGCTGCATTAACACTAGGGCTGAAACAATTAATTGAATATTGAAATAATTGTCAACTAGTTTAGTAATCAATCTCTATGCTCCAGTCATTAACTGGAGCATAGAGAGCTCTAAACCATGCGTTGAGCTGACAGAGCAACCTAATTAGAAAAGTGATTCTATCAAAATTTTAAAAAATACATAAAAAATTTAGCATTTAAGATGAAGAAAACCTTTTTGTTGTCAGTTTTCTCTATCCAGAACTCCTCAAGTGGAAATGTTTTGGTTTCAACTGGTTTAATTTCAGAAAAAATCTTTAAGGAACCTTTGGCTATCCGATTATTAATTGATTAATTCAGAGACTAATCGATTTGCAAAATAATCGTTAGTTGCAGCCTTAAATGGAACCTTCAGATTTGTTGAGGTATGGTTCTAGATTTTTACATCAGAAATCTAAATATAAAAATCTAATTTCTGCCCATGTTCTACCCTATCAAAGTCAGATAAGACAGTTTCTCTAATGGACTTAAAGGGGTTATAAATATTTGTTATTTTTACTGTACTGAATCAAAATCAACCTAATTGGACATAAACATTTTTAGGAAATTATATTTAAAATGTTGGATAGTCCCACTCTGGGTGCTATTGAAGCTCATGAAGGGTAAACAATGTGTTACTGCAAAGAAAGAAAAGTGTCAGTAAAAAGCGTGTTAAGGTTTAACAATATACAGCATTGAAGTTGCATGTTTTACAGATACCAAGAAGTCCTTCTGTTTATGCATATTTTTCATCCAGCCCATCTGGATTACCCATTGACACAGTGCAGTGGGATCTAAGCAATTTACCCGTGAGGACCAGTTCTGTGGACATCATCGTCACTGACATGCCCTTTGGGAAGAGGTACTGTGGCATTTCAAAGGCTTATGGGACAGTTGTAATTTTTGTTAACAGATACTTTATGGTGCTCTTAAACACTGAATGCAGACTGTTTTTAAGTAAGAATTTGAGTGATGGTGTGGCTACAAGCAATTCGGTTACATTAATGGAAAGTTTGATGAAATCAGCTAAAGTGAAAACCTGTTTACCATTGAAATTAAACGAATAATTCAGCTTTATCATGTGGCTGTTTTGTTGTCTGTCTGATTGAAGAATGGGCTCCAGGAAGAAGAACTGGGACTTGTACCCTTCTTGTCTCAGAGAAATGGCTCGTGTTTGCAGACCAGGCTCAGGAAAAGCCGTGATTCTGACTCAGGACAAAAAGTGCTTTACAAAGGTAACCAAAGCTCATGTAAAATACAATACCAGGTGTCTTTTTTTTTTTCCAAGCTAAACATATTTTTTCAGGAAGTTCAGACTTCATGACGACTGTTTTTCAATACAAGTCCTGTCCTGCAAGGTGTTCCTGATATTAAGTTCTGCAAGTTGTGGTTAGTTATATTCCAATACTAGATCTGATTCAAAAACACACACTTAGTCATTGATAACAAATAAAAAGATTAACCATGGTAACCAGTAAACACTGATCTCTTTTGGCTTTGATAAAGACTGACAGGTCAATGGTTTAACCAACAAACCCACAGAAGAAATAGAACTTTACACAAAGATTTACAGCTGCTTTGGGGGGAAAACAGGATCCAGGAAGGTCTACCTAATGAAGTGGCTGTTTGTTTATTAGAGCATGATTGTGAGAAACCTTTTCAGGAGCTGGAAAATCTTCTGCTGGATGTTTAAGATAAATAGAGAGTGTAAATATTGTAAAGAATATCTTTATAAAAGGTAACATGCCCTGCCTGACAGTTAGTTTTTTGCCATCAAAGAAAAGCTGCTTCTAGTGCATTTGTCTTAATAAATCAGGAATCAGAAGTTGATGCTAAGTTCTAATATGTCAGGGCCTCAGGTTAATGCTGAAAGTGTTGCAAGTTATGTTGTAAGTTTACGCTCTGTCACATTAATGGAAAGTCTCATGTTGCTACAGGGTTTGGGGGGGAGGGGGGGGAGTGTTGGTAAACTAGAAAACCTGTTGGTGACCTTTGACATCCCTTCCAAGGAGAACAATGTAGCCTTGACGTTTTTTCAACTCTTTGACATTTTCTGTGAAAGACAATCATCTCACAGGGAAGCACTGAGGATGACCCCAAAGGCTGAAGATGGTTATGACAACATATAGATTGTCTAGACTCTCAACAGGTTCTTTAAAATGGGGAAATGTTTGCTGTTTTTGTTAAAGCATTTGTTGTTTAACCAAAAAAAAAGTTTCTGATGTTTGAAAAGTCCACCAATAGTATTTTACATTGCTGGTACTGAGATGGTTAATTGCTCATTGGTCAGAGTAGAATTTAGTTTGATCACTTTTCCTTTGTGTCTGACTCCATCATGCTCCTTGAAATACCAGCTCAGTGTGTGATTGTAAAGGAAACAATAATAGGATCTTTTGGGAAAGCCTTGATGAGGTGAAAAGGTGTTAAACTGCTAATTGCTGCAGTCTGGTGTTGAGATTCAGGGATAATTTAGTTTGTTTACTTCCTGCTACAACTTTAATGTTCTGTTTTTTGTTCAGCTTCTGTGTCTTTAAATTATTGAACTTTAATCCAGGTTGTAGTACATTTTCTGTATAAACAGCTGGACCATAACATGTTGGGTTTGGATCCCAGTCTGGGCTGTCGTCTGGGTATGTTCTAGAGGGACCCACCTCCCACACCCATCTCTGATTCAGCAAGGAAAGGAGGGAATGAATAATGTATAGTGGGAAGGAAGTTACAGTATATTAGCTTATATTTCTTTCAATTTGTGTCATATAGAATCATTATAAAGTTATAAGATGCTTCATATCCTTTTTTTACATAAATATATACATACAAACATTGATACATATATCTCCGTAGTGATTTTACTCTTGTGTTGGTTTGTCAAATACAATTTAATTATCTACAAAAATGTTTGATAGAAATAAAACCTTCAATTTATATAAATACTCTCTTAAAGTAGTTTATGGTTTTCTATTCCGAAGGAGGCAATGCAGATGTTTTATTTTCTCCAGCAACAGTCTGTTATGTTTATGTAGATATCCTTCATCTCTAAACAGTCTAAACATGAATGGGCTTGTTCTGAAGCGCTCTGCAAATTAGCACTCAGCGGTTAAAGTGGTTCAGGTTAAACTCAGCCTCATGGAAAAACCTGTCCGCCCCCTCTTACATTTGTCTACACTGGGCTCTTATGTCATATAAAACAAACGTCTCATCTATTCGAGGGCTTTAACAAGATCTTTTTTTTTTTCTTTCCAGGCTATTTCCAGAATGGGAGGACTGTGGAGGAAGCTGCACACTGTTTGGGTGAACGTTGGGGGTTTACATGCCGGGGTTTACCTCCTCAAGCGGACCGCCGCCATGTTTGGTCAAACTCCGGAGGACATCTATGAATCAAGAGGGAGGAGTGACGCACATATGAATGAGACGGATGACAAAGAATCCTCTGAACTTCAACCCAATGTTTAAGTGATGTAATATTAGGAAATGCTGAGATAATCTGCTTACATGACCTGATTTTTTTTCTCATCAAGCTTGCCAAACAGTTTTTTTTAATTAATATTTTATTGGAAAAGAAGCTTATATGTTCAGTAGCAGTGAAACGGTTTCATTTTAACTTATTTCTGTTCTCATGTTCGGAACTAACAGCAGTTGACGTCATCAGACTCGTCGGATGTGATTCTCCAATTGTACAAGATCTGCACATTTAATTACTCTAATAAAGATCCATTAATGTTGATGGGTTATGGATACTAAGCTGTCACTCAGATATCTTTGAGTTTTTTTTAATGTACGTCTTTAATTGGGTCTTTCTGATAAAATGAAACTGCCAACTCAGCATAACATGAACCAGAGCTTTCACACTGTCATACTACAGAGATTATTGTTTGTAAACAATGTCTTAAACCTGATGTAATAGAAGTTAAACAAGAACATATGAAAGATTTTGGACCTCTGAAGAATTGGTTTATCGGGTTAAGAAACTAGCCATTTAATCAAGGTGATGTAAGCTCAGTCCCCTCTAATTCTACCAGTTATTTATTTCTGCAAGTTTCAGGGAAAAATAACATCTAGATGTATAAATCAAATGCCTAAGAAGCAATATAAACTTGATTAAGATATCTATAAAACCAATTTTCACAGAATGTTGACAAGGGTTTTGAGATTTTTTATATTCCCCAATTCATCACAGATTTATATTAATAGAGCTTTTTATTTACCGGTGAACTTAGAACTTTGAAAGAAGAATGGCTTTTCTTGTTTTTTTTAATCAATGGACTTTGCATTGTATGAGAAAATACGGCCATAAGCTGGTTAATGACACTGAAGATGATATATTACATTGGTTTCAGAGTCAAGTTTAATTGTTTTTTTGTTTTTTTTCATTTCTTTAGTCAAGAATATAAAATACAGATCAAATCTGAACTGAAGCACTTTGCATTAAAATTATTTCCTTCTTAAAGAAAGCCATATATACGATTATTTTACTTAAGCATTAAAACGACACTGGCAACCGCTGGATTGAATTTAGATTTTGTTATTGTGATGCTTTATAATCCAAACTTCTCTTCATCTTAACTTCAACATTAATCAGGTTTCTGTTTTGTAAATAATTTCACCAGATTAAGAAAGTATCTTTAATTGCAATATTCTGTACTTGGGAATACTGAAAAAGAAGATGGTAAAAGTAAACTTATTTGGAATGCTACACAGTCTATTGTAAAGCAGAACTTAGAAATTGTCAAAGTTATCAATACAGAAAGGAAGGAATAATTTAGCTGAAGATGTTCTGAATAAATGAAAAATGCTTGAAGAACGATCTGTGTATGGAAAAATTGAGTCATTCAGCTTCTGAAATCTGCAATAGACATTTCAGCCCAGGGTAATTAAATCACTTTCTATAGCTCCTCTTTATTACTTGGCATTTCCTCAGAAACCACGTGGATTATGTAATCCCCACAAATTTTCTTTTGGATAAAGTTTAGAATTAGATTTGCCACCTTTCACTCAATTTCATTCAATGCTGCTTTATTCTTAGGACAAGATCTTCAGATAGTTTGTGGGTTTCAAATGTTATATGGAGCCTCAGCTGAAGAAACTCATTGCTTTCCTGCATCCACCTGCAACACAGCCAATCAGCTTTGAACCACACCTCCACGAAAGCCAATCAGCATCCAAAGTCCATCTTAAAAGGCGTCCGATCCGCTCTTGTCTGCTCCTGTGGGCAGGCGGCGGATGTGTTGTGTGACTTCATTCAGATGACACCGTTTCAACCCACCTCCAGCCCCTCCTCCACCATCGAAGCTAAAGCTTCATCAGTGTCATTCCTAACGGACTCTTACTGCGTTCCCTGTCTCATCTCAACCGGTTCGAAGAAGACCGCCATGTTGAGCCTGGTTCTGCCAGAGGTTTCTTCCCAACAGGGAGTTTTTCCTCTCCACTGTTGCTTCATGCTTGCTCATCATGGACAAGTTCTCTCAACCTGTGTTATCCAACTTGACTTCCATCTTCCAGGTCCCTGAGTGAAGCTGTAGTATCAGCCCATGCAGTCCACTGGATCTCCCCATAAAGCTCAGCATACCGTCTCGTTAACCAGCAGTCTACAGACTGACCAACTTCATCCATCTCCACTCCACCACCAGTTTTAGGCCTGGGGGGAAACAGCCCTGTTCTTTACTCCTGTTCAAGCATATCTATCAAAATTAAGCGCTATGTTTCCTGCCGAGGTCTGAGCGCCAATGACAAAGTAATTGTATCAATAAATTTCTCCTAATTGTCTTTTCTCTTTGTGTGAGTTTTCAAATTGAAATAATGTTTGTTCGTATGAATAGAACAGATCTTCAAAGAAGATGCAAAGTCATCTGCAATTGCAGTCCAAAGGAGAGTATGTGAGATTTTTTTTTTTGCATGTTTGCCCTCACTGATATGTACAGGTCCTTCTCAAAATATTAGCATATTGTGATCAAGTTCATTATTTTCCATAATGTAATACTAAAACTTGAACATTCATATGTTTTAGGTTCATTGCACACTAACTGAAATATTTCAGGTCTTTTATAATCTTAATACGGATGATTTTGGCATACAGCTCATGAAAACCCAATATTTCTATCTCACAAAATTAGCACATCATGAAAAAGGTCTCCAAACGTGCTATGCACCTAATCATCTGAATCATCACATTAACTCTAAACACCTGCAAAACACTCCTGAGGCCTTTAACACTCCCAGCCTGGTTCATCACTCAAAACCCCAATCATGGGTAAGACTGCCGACCTGACTGCTGTCCAGAAGGCCATCATTGACTCCCTAAAGCAAGGGGGTATGACACAGGAAGATATTTCTGAACGAATAGGCTGTTCCCAGAGTGCTGTATCAAGGCACCTCATTGGGAAGGAAAGAGTGTAGCAGAAAACTCTGCACGAGAAGAGGTGACTGGACCCTGAGGAAGATTGTGGAGAAGGGCCGATTCCAGACCTTGGGGGACCTGAGGAAGCAGTGGACTGAGTCTGGAGTAGAAACATCCAGAGGCATATGCAGGAAATAGGCTACAGGTGCTGCATTCCCAGGGTCAAGCCACGTTTGAACCAGAAACAGCGTCAGAGGCGCCTGACCTGGGCTACAGAGAAGCAGAACTGGACTGTTGCTCAGTTTTGCATGTCATTTGGAAATCAAGGTGCCAGTCTGGAGGAAGACTGGGGAGAAGGAAATGCCAGAAGTCCAGTGTCAAGTACCCACAGTTAGTGATAGTCTGGGGTCCCATGTCAGCTGCTTGTGTTGGTCTCCTGTGTTTTATTAAGGGCAGGGTCAATGCAGCTAGCTATCGGGAGATTTTGGAGCACTTCATGCTTCCATCTGCTTAAAAAAAACCTTTGTGGAGAGGAAGATTTAAATTTTCAGCATGACCTGGCACCTGCTCACTGTGCCAAAACCACTGGTAAATGGTTTACTGACCATGGTGTCACTGTGCTCAATTGGCCTACCAACTCTCCTGCCTGAACCCCATAGAGAATCTCTGGGATATTGTGAAGAGGAAGTTGAGAGACGAAAGACCCAACACTCTGGATGAGCTAAAGGCCGCTGTCTAAGCATCCTGGGCCTCCATAACACCTCAGCAGTGCCACAAGCTGATTGCCTCCATGCCACGCTGCATTGAAGCAGTCATTTCTGCAAAAGGATTCCCGACCAACTATTGAGTGCATAACTGTACATAATTATTTGAAGGTTGACTTTTTTTGTATTAAGAATACTTCTTTAATCCGTCTGATCAAATATGCTAATTTCGTGAGATAGGAATTTTGTGTTTTCATGAGCTGTATGCCAAAATCATCCGTATTAAGATAATAAAAGACCTGAAATATTTCAATTGATGTGCAATGACTCTAAAATATATGATGCTCAAGTTTTATCATTACATTATGGAAAATAATGAACTTTATTACAATATGCTAATACTTTCAGAAGGACCCGTAGAATAGGGCTGGACTGGACTTTGGGTATATGGAGCGTATGCCCAGTTGGCCACCACCCATATTTGGGCTGACCGGCAGTCATAATCAAACATGTATTTATCAATAAGTGCTTATTAGATTATCAAACAACCACATGAAAATGTAATGAAAGAATTTAAAGGAATTATTCTCATTTCAACAGTAATACAAGAAAATCAGTCCAATTTTCATTTCAATTGCTTAATCCTAGTTAGGTAACATTTTAGAAAATAGTTTTTTTTTTCTTAGCTTGGTTAATTTATTTCTCCATATAGTTGTGGTTGAAAGTTTACATACCCCCCATTAAAGAAGGTGACATATTCAACTAGTTATTAAAATAACACAAAACTGAAAACATAATAAATGAAAATGTATTTAGTACAATAAAAAATAATTTCGATTTTTTTATTTAAAATAAAAAAAATAAAAAAGACATTTTGGTTATCCGATGGAGTGGAAGACTTCTTTGAGGCTATTTTTGCTCTGAACCTCTCCACAGTAAGAGACAGTTTGGTCAGGTATTTAGAGAGGGAGTGATGTAAAAAAGCAGGTTTAGCTTTTGCATAAAGAATCCTGCCAGAGGCTTTAAATACAAGTTATATATTTTTCATGAAAATCCACCAAGAATCTGATGGATCAGCTGGAATATGAGGGATGAAGTGCTCCCTGACACTTGTTATCTATCACACGTGGGTCAGTTAGCAGCACAATCCAGACTGAGTCACAACGGGTTACATTAAACTGAAACAGTTCATGTCTACAAAAATTAAAAAAACTGAATGTCCAAATAGAGTCTCATTGCATTTAAAAGTCACATTTTCTTTTAACTGTAACAATAGTTTTGTATTCACCAAGTACAGAAGTAAAGTCTGGAGTTAGCCAACTAGACTCTTGGATAAGAAATAGAAGAATGTGAAAACAGGACTATCAAAATGACGTCTGTGAAGTAACATGAGATCTGACTTAAAGGAACTGAAAGTAAGAAAGCAATGCCGTTATGTGACTCTCTTTCAGTACGTCAGAAGATACTAATTTACCAAACAAAATAGTGTAAGGTATTCATTTGTTTTCTCTTTAAAGGTGAAACATTCTCTCGGGCCATTGAAATAAAAGTAAGAGATATCTGGCATATTTAAAGTGCTTCTAAAGATATTTGATTCTGCATTGAGGACAGAACCTTGGCTCTCCTAGAAGCCTGTGTTATCAGCTTGTGGTATGGTTTTTGCTGATCTTTTGAATTGTAAGAGGTATTTTGTTGTTAATACTGTTCTTA